ATTGTGAGCCACTGCCTGAAAACTGTACAAACATAATTGTATCATCAAGTAATGATAGCTGCAATTGTCCTACGTGTGGAGGTACAAAATTATGTTATGTTTTACCTTTTTATATTAGCTTCGTATAGACTGTGCAATTAGTGGACAGTTTTATAAGGAGAGTAACAGTTGTCCCAAGACATGCTCTGAGCCTTATCGTGTCTGTCCATTAGATACTTCTGGCTGTTCATGTCCTAATGGACAATTAATTGATGAAGAAAAACTAACTTGTGTTGAACCTGAGGACTGCCCAAGTTAGTCAATTATATTATAGCAATGAATAATGACTTTAAATTCTTATTTCCACCTCTTCAGAAATTGATCCCTGCACTATCCAGCCTTATAAAGGACCTTGCAATGGCCAGATACAAAGATACTTTTATAACTCAACCAGTCAAAAGTGTGAAGTCTTTTATTATGGAGGATGCCATTCAAATGGAAATAACTTTTTCACTAAACATGATTGTGAAGAGAAATGTAGTGGTAAGTTAGTTTAAATTTATAGTATAAAAATTAATTCAAGTAACAAATATACAGCATGTCCACCAACCTGTAGTCGGGAATATTGTGTCACCAAAAGAGGAGCTGTGTGCACTATGTAAGTTTTATTGATGCTACATATATAATCACTACTTTATGCTTGTTAAATTCTTTATTTCACAGTGATGATAAAAGCATTGGTAGCAATGTAAAATGTCCTAGAGGTTGCCTCATTTCTAACTGTTGGGCTTGCTACTATTCATATACAGCACTCCCTTATCCTGTTCAGGCTTTCTCTTGTCCTGTTAACTGTCCACTTGATGCTGAGGGTCAGTTGGAAAGCAAGTGCATGCAGAACTGGGGTCACTGTGTCCTCATTGCTTATACTAATATATACAAAGAAGTGAGTGATTTCATTCAAATCATATGCTACATAATGATGTAATTTGTAGGTATTGACACATGAGAGGACTTCTGATACTTTCAAGTGCTGGTCATACCCTTGTTGACATTACAAACAATAAAAATTGCCTCCTGAGTATTACGTAGTGTTAGATTTAGTGACTGTAGTTGCTATAGTTAGTTAGACTTTTGATTTTACATAATGATCATTTTTTTTCCCTCAAATAACCTTAACCTAGTCTTGCCAG